GGTTTCTGTGGAATAAAATTCTATTTGTTTCTTAGCTTGCTGTTGCGGTGTTGCCTATTTCTAACAGCCCCCTCTCTCCCCACACAAACACACATCACCAACCACTTTCCTTGCCCCCTTTCTAAAATGTTCCAATGCCCAATTATCACTACAAAAGGAAAGCAGGCATGCCGTTTCTAAAGTAGGTGTTTCGCACAATCGCAGTCTTGTGTCCGACTAAGCCAAGGCACACTCTCGATGTCAGATTCCTTGTGTGCTCAGGGCTTGCCTTCTCTCCTAATCTGCTGCCACCCCCATCCTTCGTTGCAAGGTCACCCTCCTGCGGTGACTAAGTTCAGAGTGTCGGAAAGGCATGAGCTTAGCAATTAAGTCCCTGATCACAAAGGCAGCGCCTTTCCAATGATAGCAGGCTGGGGGTGTTCTCTCAGCACATGTCAGAATAATTCTGCTGAGCAGGAATTAGGGTAGTCAAGGCTGTATTTAAGTGCCATCATAATGAGAGCTGCAAGGGGGATGGGATGGGTTTAGAGAAAGCTTTGTTAGGGCTGTTCTTATTACGTTGTGTGGAAGAGCCTGAAAAAGGTTGGCAACCTCCCCTCCTCCCCCTCGGTGAGTGGAACAAACACACACATTTGCAATGTACCTAAGGCGTCCAGATATAACGTAAAGACATTTAGAATTACTTTTGAACAGTTCCCTTTATTGTTCCTCCCCTCTGGACAGAATTCTTGCCCAACTAAGGCAACGACTTGCATCGCTGAAAGATAAACTCTGGGAATGGCCAGAGAGGAGCCGTCTTAACTCTTTCCGCCATTCAAGCCATTCTGAAGTCAGCTGTCTCTTTGTCCTCTGGGATTCAGCCCCTCCCTCATGGGAATCCAGACTACATTCCACCACAAAGCCGGTGTGAAATAATGGATAGGCTTGTACGGTAGCAGTTCATGTTCAGTGATCAAATTTAAGGACAATCTTGGGCCTTCTCATGCTGTCTCCTCCCCAAACTTCTTTCATGGTCTTGCCAAGGTTGGACACCCCTGGTAGAATAGAATAGAATAGAATAGAATAGAATAGAATTCTTTATTGGCCAAGTGTGATTGGACACACAAGGAATTTGTCTTTGGTGCAAATGCACTCAGTGTACATAAAAGAAAAATAGAATAGAATACATTCATCAAGAGTCATAAAATTCAAAACTTAGTGATAGTCATAGGTTACTAATAAGCAATCAAATCATACTAGGAAACAAAGCAATATAAATTGTAAAGATACAAGCAACATGGTTATAGTCATAAGTGGATACTAGGAAGGATGAGAATAATAATACTGTTACAGTCTTAGTAAATAATTTGAAAGTATTGTGGGAATTGTTTTGCAGAGTGATGGCATT